CATAGAAGGAAGTCAAATTCTTTCACACAGAAAAAGGGGTAGCATGCACTGTATTAAGCTGAACAACAACTGTCCAAGTCCACAGGAAACATCAAGTGGTGGGTTCACATCCCAAGCACCATTAACTGCTAGCAGAGCAAAACTACCCTAGAACCATAACATACTATAGAATGACTTGGTTTCAAACAATTATCTATTTCCATTCCCTCTGCTATGGACAGGAATCCCTCCCACTACATTAGGCTGCTTAGGAAACCATCCAACCTGGCCCTGCACACCTTCATGGATAAGGTATCCACAGCTTCTCTGGGCAACCTGTTCCAGTGCCACACTATCCTCATAGAGAAGAATTTCTTTCACATACCTAAGCTAAATCTTCCCCCTTTTGGTTAAAACTATAACCCCTTGTCCTGTCACTACACTCCCTGACGAAGAGTCCTTCCCCAGCTGTCCCGTAGGCCCTGTTAGATACTGGAAGTCTACTATAAGGTCTCCCCCAGAGCCTTTTCTTCTCCAGACTGAACAAGCCCAGCTCCCTGAGCCTGTCTCAACAAGAAAGGTGCTCCAGCTCTCAGATCATCCTTGTGGTCTCCTCTGAACCTAAGCGCTTTCTACCCCTGCTAAAGCTGCTAAATCTGTGACACTGGCTACCTGGCAAGTACAAGCAGTCAGCAGGGGCAGAAGGACCTCTGATGAGTCACGAGACATGGCTGTCACCCTTCCCCTCTCACCCAGGGCCGGTGTGCCAGCATGCATCAGTCTAACAGGGAGGGTGTATCCCCAAGGCAAGGGCTGCTTTGCTTGATCCCATCATGCCTTCCCCCAGGTATCACATAGCCCTGTCAAAGCATTGGTCCCACTCAGCCACCACTGCAACCCAAGTGCTGGGTGAAGCACTTTGTAGGACTCAGAGAGGCAAATTGTGCACTCACTTCTCAACACGTGCTTACAGCAAGGCACATTGCTGAAGCTGACCTTGGGGTGAGAGCAAGACAGGTGATGATCCTTAGCACAGCAGTAATTACTGCTTCAGAATGCATCAGAGGCTGCACACCTTCCACAGTTTCTGCATGGGAAATCCAAGAAAGGAAAAGTCAAAATGTACCTCTGATGAACAGCAAATGAAAGCCCTGCTCCCTTTCCAATTACTTCCTGCTTCTGTTAAAACTAGCAAAGTCCTAACTAGATTGAGTGCAATTCTGTGCTAGCTGAGCCCGAGCCAACGCGATCACATTTCCCCTGGTAGATGCTCAAGGAAAGCAGCACAGCAGGGTAGTATTTGAAGAACGGTAAGAGACAGCACAACTAACACACTTCCAAAATGACAATTGCTCTTGCTAGCAGGTCACTTTTTGAAAAAAAGGCCTTTCCAGCTCATTTGTCAGCTGGGTCACCCCAACAAGTTTTCCTCTCGTGCAGACCAGTCAGAGGATGATTTTGTGAGTACGGCCAGCCCTGTTTTCCCAGAGCAATGCCCTACAATGCAAAGCACTTCTTAACACCACAACCACACACACATTGCACAAGCACTTTGGCAATACAGACTGGAGCGTAACACAGGATTTGACACAACAAGTAGAACATGACATACTGACTGCTAGGTTTTTAATGTATGTTAGTTTTTTATTGCATGCAACACTTAGAACCACAGTTTGACTGTACCCTCTGATGCACACGTTACTGAAACTTGGACTGATCCAAGGTTTGGCCTTGAAAGTATGGATATTAGTACATTCAGGGAAGATAGTCATCCTCCCTAAGATGATGTAAATCTTTCGGTAGGCTTATTTCTGAACAGTTGCTAAAGCTTAACGTAGTTTGTATTGAAGGAAGATAAGGATGCCTTCAGAAGGAACTGGTTTGGCCAGTTAGCTATCTCACTGCTAAAGCTTGCATATCCTAGTGATTTCAGTGATATATGGATACCCAAATGAAAAAGTCAGCCCTGAGGAACACAATGACATTGTGTTACACTCCCTGAAAGTCTCTATAAATTAACAAATGAATTATAATGGACTACTCTGACTGTAGTCTTCAGGGCATCGATCTTTATTTCTCATTTATCTGCAAATTTCTTCATACACTCTTAATGCAAGTAATAATACATTATTCACTACTATCACTTCTGCATGCGGTTTGTTCACCAGGTACGTATGTACGCACTCTGTTGAAACACCAAACTCTTTCACAGCATTTTGCACATTCCCTGTATTTGCAAGTTGTCTGAGTTAAGAGGATGACTGCTGTCACTTTGCCTTCCCTTCCTTGCTTATCACCAATTGGCCTTAACAATAGACTTTGGATTTTTTTCTTAATCATTCACACATTGAGGCAAAGGAGTAAGAACAGGTTTATACTGAAGACTTATTTAATTGCTTTATTTCACCACATTGAAATATATCTGAAATTTCCAGCTCTAACTGCAATCATCTCCAGGGTTTCACAAATTTGTTATAGTTTCCAAAGGCAAAAAAAGAAGAAAAACGAAAAACAAAACAACAAAAAGAAAAAAAACAACAGAAAAACAACTACAGCATCCTAAAGGAGCCTAATTCCCCTGTTTCACAGAAAGTGATATGAAACATAAGGCACATGAGAGGGCACTGCAGAGACCTTTTGCAGCCAGTACACTGCCCAGTGGATTAAAGTGCACAGTCCTTGTTCCCATCCCACAGAGGCTGCACGTACAGATCAAAACTAGCTATATAGAGCCAATAAAGCAACAAAAAGTGGTTTGCCTAAACACAGTGTCACTAAGCACTGAGACACAAAATAGACATTGGTCAAATGAATGCTGCAGGAAGTGGCATGCCTGCTGTCAAAGGAATTTGTACCAGGTACCACCTAACAGGCCATCCAGCAACTATCAATGTAAATCTAGATAACTTCCTCTGTTTTAATCTGGGTCAACATTAGAGAAGGTGGGTTGAGAGACAGGGAGGTATTGATCCTTGTGAGTGTTCTTCAATATCCAACAATGCTTCTGGTGTTGGATTATGCATAACTATCGGGTTTGTTTTAGTTTGTTTTTCATTTTCATGACTACAGTCATTCAAACAAAAAAGTTTTGTCTCATCCAAATTTGAAAAGATCTTTCTAAACTTCTGGTAAAATATACAATTGTATTTTAATTTCCATTAAACCATGACATTGCCCATTATAGGTTGATTCTGACCTTCTTGTAACAAAAAGATTTGCCTAGGTACTTTTGGGAGATAGTACTAACTGGATTGAAATATAAGAAGTATAAATGCATATGCCATTTGAACTTCTAGAAGCAACAGAATTTTATCACAGAACATGAGTGTTGCAGTGTTTATGGCAGCACATTTGCTTTCAGAACTGTTATAAATTCAGTGTCATGGGGTCCCAAGGTGATGGTCTTTTGCCTAAATCAGCATCTCGTGATTCCCAAATGCTGCTTTATTCTGTACCCACCTTATTTTCTCATTCATCCTCAAATGCGGAGGAAAACAAATAAAGCCCTAACAATCGATTCATGCTTCTTGAAGAAGTTATTCTGCCTTTCCCTTTTCCATCCCTGGTTGTCCTCACAGGAACGGTTACTCACTAACAGAATGCTGACAGTAATGTCTGTTGGATTCATCACGTAACTGTTGATCACTTAATAAACCTCAATTAAACAGCACCCTCATAATTTTATGAGACACAGAATTAAGCACTTTAAAGAAGGCTACAACGTATTTACCCTCACATTTTACAGATTCTACAGGGTACGTGTACCTGGGAGTTGCATTTCAAAGGACTTAACACAAATGCAGCAGATGGAGCCAGCTCTGCTCTCCCTCACTTTCAAAGGGGAAACAAGAAAAAAAAAGAAATCAAAACCTGGGAAAGAAGAGCTGCCTACATTACATCAGCAACAGGTATGAACTTGATTTCTGGAACAAGGGAGCCTCTTCACCGCTTTGAGGTTGTGCAACTAGTTCCTCAGAATGGGGAGCTGCTGCTCCCTTTCAAGATGGTTTTACTGTCCTCAGTTACAAAAAGATGGGTTCAGCTGTTTTCAGCCACACACCAGCTCTTCTAAACACCACTAATTCTCTTTTCCCTCTTCTTCTGTAGAAAGAAAATACAACAACAAATCTGCATTTTTTCCTTTGCTGGCAGATCTCCAAGATAAAGAGAACTGTACTCTGCCTGGAACAACGCTCGGGGCCTATTCACAGAAAAGATCACCACGCATGGAAAAAAAGCGACGGAACTCTCCTGACACAAACGTTTCCTCACTTCTTAAACCAGTTTTTCAAAAACGTAAAAAAAACAAAGCCCCAGAAGCCAAGCAGACAGCCTCGCGGCCACCCCGCGCCGTTCCCACGCACGGCTGCCGGGTGCTCTCAGCGAGGGTGACAGCATAGCGCCGGGCAGAGAGAGAGCACGGAACGCTCCCTGCTTTGACAACCGGAGAACCAGAACCCGCGTGAAGTTTCCCGTCTTCCCCTACACGCCCTACCCAGGTGTGTGCACACATATATACATGCATTCATCTTTTTGGAGCGGAATGAGCTGAAGTGTCCGGCCCGAGGCGGCGGGCCGGCCGAGGCTGCCCGGCGTGTCCCTGCCGTGCTTGGTGCCATCTCCCCGGGGTCGGCGGGGGAGCAGGAAGGGGCCGGCAGCCAGCACGGGGTGAAGCCGGGCGGTGAGGGAGCTCGGGACACCGCGGAAAGAGCACGGGGGCGGAGAGGAGGGGAGAGGAGGAAAAAAAAGCCTCGAGAGAGGAGAAGCACAAACGATGAGACGCGCGAAGGTTTATTCCCCCCATCCCCCCCACCCCACAAAAGAAAATAAGCTTAGAATCAGGAAGTCAGAGCTGCGCGATCGCTGCTGTAGGTTTGTTTTTCCATCTTTTTCTTTTTTTTTTTTTTTCCCCTTTCTCCTAAGGGACGAAGCCGGGACTTTCCCTCCGACACTCCCCGCAGCACCAAGGCTCACACCCGGTAGCGCCGCCGCAGACCCGTGCCACCCGCACCGCCCGTTACCTTTCTTCTCCTCCACGGCGGAACAGAGCGCGACGCGCCCCAGCAGCAGCAGCAGCAGCAGCACCAGGACAGCGGCTCCGCAGGGCCCGGTGGCGGACAGGGGGCTGCGGACGCCCATGGTGTACGTGGGACGTGACGGGAGCACGGAGCTCCAACAAGCCGCTCCTCGCTCTGCTCTGCTCTGCCCTGCGCTCCGCTCCGCTCCGCCCCGCTCAGCTCCTGGCTGCCGCTCTGCTTCCACGCAACATGCTGGAGGGCGGCCGTCGAGGGTTGCGCGCACACGTGCCTGCCCAGCTACAGGCGGACTGCTGCCTTCTTCTTCCTCCTCCTCCTCTTTCCTCCTCCCTGCGCTCTTTCTGTCGCAGGGGTTGCGGAGCGGCTGGGGCCGGCCGCGGGACGACTCTGCCTAGCTGCGCTCTCCTCCCGGCCGCGGAGCGCAGGGGCTCCCTCTGGGGACGCCGAAGAGGAGGATGGGGCGGGAGCAAGGAGCGGGGGGAGGAGAAACGAGCGGCGCCTTCCCCGCCCAGGTAGGGATGGAGCGGCCCCTACCTGCCCCAGGACAGAGGAGGAGAAGGATGTGGGGGAAGGGAGCAGCTCAGCCGATTCCCCCGCTCAGTTTATGTGAATGTTGAGGATATCCCGTTTTCCCGCTTCCCGGCTGCTTGCCCGGCAGCCGCCGAAGGCGTGAGCAGACGTTTGCGTCGCCACTTGCGAAAAAGCCTCGTGGCCTTCAGCTCCCCCTCCATGTCCCTCCCGTGGGATGCCAGGCAGCAGCTCAGCCTCTGCCGGGGAATGCTGTAGAAACCCATCTCGTCCCGTTATATGCAGCCCTCGTTTCTGCTACCTCGGCCTCAGCAGAGCCCGCAAACAGTCTCATTCAGTCCCATTCCCATGTGGTCATTTTGCCCCAAATGTGTATGTGCCAAGAAAAACTGAGCTGGTGCTAGACATATTTTAGCAGGGCCCGTATGTGCCCGTGTTGTTTTCTACCTGTTGTGAGCAGTGAATTACTTTGCAAACAGACAGTAATACAGAAGTGTTCTTGGGATGCTGCAGGGAAATCCACAAAGCAAAAAGCACCATGCTCTCTTTCCCCCTCAGCGTTGCTACCCCAAGAGGCAAGCCCTCAAGCAAGTCAACATTTAGAGAACATGCTTACGGCCATAGCATTTTTATGTATTTGTTTTGTTTTGTTTTTAAGTGGGCTGCTAATCTGCAAGGTGAGAAGGAGCACTGCCTTATTGCTTTGGCATGGAAATGGGACATGAAGTGTCACTTGTCCATGCTGGGACCTTCTCAAGCACATGGTTTTCCATCTCACCATTTGGCAGCCAGACTCATGCTTATGTGCTGCTTACTGGAAATGTCTTCCTAAAGCTCCTGAAAAGATTCTGGTCACAAAGTCAATAGGATATGAAATGCTATGATTGATTGGGAACTCCAGAACTCACAGTGACAAGGGGCTTGGGAGGTGACATGCTAAACGCCTGTGCCTATTCCCATGTGCTGATAGTAACACATAGGGATATCATACATATGTCACATAGGTAGCAAAACAGTTGCTGAGTGTATCCTGCCTTACCTTGGTGATTCATGCCTTCTAAGAGATTCACTGATTTTATATTGATTCATTGATTTTATATTACCCATCAGATTTCTCTGCATATATATATATATATATATATGAAGTTTAAGAAGTTATTGTGCTAATTAGGCAAAGAAAAGTGAAACACCATTCAGTTACAGTAGCACAAGATAGATGCTCCAACACATACCATATCATGCCCCTAATCATTTATTATTAAGATGAGCTTTTGGATGCTATAGCTGGCATGCTCTTTTCCTTATACGTTGTAAATAACACAGAATAAATACTTTGAAGTAAACTCAGACAGTCATTTATTTAGACAAACTGGAAGATTTTTAAAAATGAGAAGCTCAGGGAAAAAATCAACTTCTAGAGAAGGGAGATTTGCAAACTAACCTCAATACACACTAAAGGTTGCAGCTTGTATTATGAGAGAGGAAGCCTAATTAGGACACCAAAGAAATGAACCTCAAATCAGTTCTACAGATAAATACTAAATCAAAACAGATACCTCTAGGCACGCATGTTGCACGATGAGATACCAACATGAAACAGAGTTTTGATAATCTACAAGAAAGGAAGGATTTGGCATGACAGTTAAAAAGTAAGCTAAGCACAGGAAAATGAAAACATCTTTTGCACATGAATTCAGTGGAGAAACTTGGCAAAGTCCTGTTCTAACTTATTTCAGAACAAGCTCTTGCATTGCAGAATTTTTCATACAATTGTGATTCTACCTCCTGTACTGAGCAGGAATATTTCATATTTCATTTCCAACCATCGCATACTGCCCCTACACCAATCCACCTAAAACCAAGTATAGATCCTAACTTAACTTCTCCTTCATTCCTAACATGGTAAAGAGAAGACTGAGCAAATTCCTCTCTGTGTTTTCTTTCCCACTCTGCAGACATTCAATGCAGGGAAGTCTCGTCTGAGGCTGGTGGTGCATTACCGCAGACTTGCCATGGATTCTGGCTTCCCAGCTTTTTGAGCACAGATGCACTATTTCTATGGCATCTGTGCTCTGCTTGTGAAGGTCATGAGATACACAGAGAGACTCTAAGACTGAGGCTGAAGACACCAATGATGACAGGCAGATATTTCAGGCCCGTTTGACACAACTGAAAAATTTTTGTAAATTTGAACTCAAACATGACATTTTCCCTACACAGCTGGTCACACACCCAGAGACTGCATTTGATCCAACTTCTTCGAAGCTAATGTAACAGGGTGAATTTCAGCATGGGCAGACAGTATTTTTTCACATTGCAAATCTTTTATTACCAGCTGTATGTGTGCAAAGGCCATAGGATAAAGATCAGGTTTTTGACCATTTGTTTTTAAGTTTATGGTTCATAGTGAGAATATTACACCAAATAAAACACCTCACTTCAACATTCTTTGAGTGACCTCCTTTATTGTGCATACATATCTCCTGTTTTCTGTATGTTCAGCATATACACATGTAAACTGTAAATCCATTACCCAATGAGAACTGGGTCAGCATTTGTGCCTCCCCAAAATTTATTAGCAACTTTTCCTCAGTAGTAACACAGTTCTTCTGTGCATGTTGCAGAAGTGGTTTTAAAGGGCAGGCTCTTTATTGGAAGAGCAGAGATGAAGCAGAGATGAATTAACAAGATTTTACAACCTGGCTTTCTCAGATTTAACGTGTGTGGTGCTCAAGACAGCGGACATCGTAGTTTGCATGGGAATTTGTATTCTGTGATTGCTCACTGATGTTTTAAAACAAAGGACTGAGGTAATTATTCTTTGCATTTTATGGCACTTCGCACTTTCAAAACATTGCACAAATATTAACTAATTTATCTTTGAAAATCACTTGTAAAGCAGGTTAGTAACTATCATTTTCGCTTTGTAGATTGAAACTAATTTGTCTTGGGCAGAATGTTGTTGGCAGGACTGGAGTTATCACTCAACAGCTGTTTCTTCTGAACACTATTTAAACCTTTTCAGATTGTGCTGCTTGTAGAGAACTTCCCTGTTTAAATATATATATCTTAACACATTCAGCTTCTCTTTTTCCTCTCTTAACATTGATTGCTTGTTTGTACAGCAGCACATAGAAAAGACCAACACAGAGAAGGTTGCTGGAATTAAGTCTTAATTATAGTAAATTTCATAGTCAGTACTTTGATAAGTGACCGTTGTTATCTCAGGTCAATCTTTGCACTTCAGTTTTAATTTCTTTACATCAGATTTTATCTGCTATACCTCAGTCCACAAGTTCAATGTTGCATTTTCCAGGAAAGCTTCTCCTAAACTAAGAGTATGCTTTTGAATGTCTTACGCTCTGATAGTGTTTGCAGCACTGGCTTATTCATTAATAAAAATAGGCAACAAACAGACAAACACCCAACAAAAACACCTCCCCTTCCCTCTCCCCTCCTCCCCCGTAGCTATAACTATAGTTATAGTAACTATAAAAAAGAAAAACTGATGCATTTATGGCTGTTGTAGGATTTGGTACCAAAAAATTCATACTCCACTCATTGCACAGGAGAAACTGCTGGTTATCTGTTCTCTGAGATATGGTTCTTTTTGAAAAGATCTCCAATTTTTATCTGATTTAGAGGAGAAAAGGAAATACACTGTTTTGTGCATTTTTATTACAATTCATAATATTAACTAAACAGTATAATCTGGGTTTCGTGAGAGTAAACATACTACGTTGATGAAAATATGCAGTTTTTATATCCATAAATCTATTGTTTACCCCATCTCCCTGAATCTCTTTGAAGAATTGGAGTATATGGCATCTCTTTTGATACCTAAACACAATTTCAAAGGACAAAATACATTCCCTATTTGAAAGCATTCATTGCTTTTTGTATTTGTAACATCATATTGGTATTGCTGTGTGTATTGCTATGTTTTTTTCATATAGTTTAAGAAAAATTCTAACTAACTATGTTCTTAGCAAAGTAATTTACCATGTGGATTTTATAGTTTGTGTGAGTAAGGATATAAGGATTAATACCATGATCAAATGAGATATGCTATATCCCAAAACTTTTTAGTAAGCTTTGCAGTAGCTTCAAAGCAAACATCTTCTAACTTATTTCTATATTTTAACACGGATATTATCAGATAAAGCTGATGTTACCATGATAACATGTACTCTCTCAACCAGAAGTGAAACATCTCTGTGTGGTTGCATACAAAGAATCTGATGTCAGGGGAAGACTGTTTTGACATCTAAATTTGACGTCACTGTTTAATAAATGTTCAAGATGAGAGACTGCTAATAGCAGATATCTGGTTATTGACATTAATACTGTTAATTGCATTACTCTCATTATCCATTCTGCACAAGAAAAGAACTTTATAGCTTTGCTTACCTAATTTCTGATCTGTTGCATGAGCCACATATGTCCAAAGTGGCAGAGAGAGGACATGCAATACTGTGCACAAATACAGCAAGTGTCTGCTCAAAATACTGTCTCCTTAGGTGTTCAGAGTGCTGTAAAACACATGGCAAAGAGGGAGTAAAGGAAAGCTGATAGCCATGAGTCAATGAGCAAGGAATGTGCATTGCATCAAGGGTGCGGCTGATGGGGGTTTTTTCAGATTCAGCCATCTCCCGCTGTCTGCATCAAAAGCAGACACAGATGGAAGTGATAAGAAGTTGCAACACCATGATTCTCCTAAACAACTGCATCTAGTAGTCCTAATTTGGGTTAAGTAGTATGGAAGAAATCAGGCTTCCCTTTTACCCACATGGTGACACATGATTTTCCATGGTAGAGGTATCTCCAACTTAATCCAGCATTTTCAGAGCCATCTCCACATGAACAAATTGTCACAGAATAACTTGTATCCACCATGAAGATAAACTCTCAGTCTCAAGACTAGTGTGGCTGCATCCAAACTAACTACCAGGAGCAATCTTGGCTATTGCTAATTCTCATATAAATGAATAGCCTGGTCTCATCCAGGGGAACATTAACTTCCTAATTTACCAATATGGACATGGTCATCTCTATTTCCCTACTTCTTGTTTTCTTTTTGTCAGTTCTCTTGTTGATCAGTCTGCTGTTTCTAGAAGAAAAAGAAACAACAATGTAATGTTTGAGTTCCTATAGATGCTTTAATCTTCAAATGGCAATATGGGACCTGGATCCAAACATCAGTCTTAGGTTTCCAGCTGGGGTTGACCCCAAACCCAGAACATAAACAACCCAGACTTTCACAGATTACTTGGAAAACTTGGAAAATGATAGTGGGATGAGAATGCTGAGAACTTCCTGTTACCCAGGGGTACTGCAAAATAAGCTCAGTGAAGCAGAACCATGGATAATACAAAACATGCATAGGTTGTATAACAAAAAGAATGAACAGTGTACACCCACCTTGAAGAATAGGGTCTGAGATCTCCACAGACAGCTGGTCCAGCAACACACACAGCAGACAGGGCAGCGTATGGAGCTAGCCTCTGCATCCTTAGCAGGATGCCTCTACAAGTTGGAAGGAAAATTAGCTTACCCCCAAGCTAGGTAATCAAGGGCTAACATCGTGCTTTAGATGCTGTCAAAACATGAGTATAAAGAGGGATTTTGAGGGGTCACTTGGATATTCTGTGTTTTTTTATTACATGCTCCCCATCACACCTCAGAATATCTGTTTGATCTCAGCTCTCTGATACTCTCTTACTTCTTGAGCTCCCAGCAGTTTTGACGGCACTAACTCCCATTCTGTTCAGACAGATGAGCAATTCTCTGGGTGTTTCAGTAAACCTTCCAGAGGTAATTAAGATATAGCTGTCTCCACAGCTTCCTCTGCTCCAGACCCAGGTTCAGACACTGAAATAGCCACATGACTTGCCACCAAGAGGAAGCTAAGCCCCTAATCAATTCAATGTGCACACTTCAGCTTCCATCAGACTCCCCAGCTACCCACATGCGATATCCTGCACCACTATTAAGAACACAATATCCTGATATAATGAGAAGCACACCAGAAAACAGTCCAAGGATATA